ATTCTGGGAGTTGAAGTCCACATATCTTAAAGTTGCTAAGGTTGAGAAACACTGAGCTAGAGGGTCCCATATTATCTATCTTCAATTAAATCTGAGCATATATTCAAATGTAGTTTTTCTCCCAGTTCACCATTTGCTCCCTTTGTTGATGGACACCAGAGCGGATGCTGCTTGCCTAAGACAAGTTACAGATCCCCTCCAAGCTAGGTAGCAGAACTGACATCCGACAAGCAACTCAGAAGAATCTGGCAGGAGGGCAGGAGAAGCTCTGATGCAGACCGCAGGAGCTACTAGCATGGGAGGATAATGATAATTAATAATAATAATTTATTAAAGTTGTATGCCACCCAGTTCTCAACGATTCTGGGTGGCTCACCACAATCAAACCAAGAAATTACAATCAAATCAATAAAAGATAAAAGATGGCAGGTGTGATGAAGCAAGGGGTCTCCCTCTCCCCCACCAAAGGCCTGGGTGAAGATCCAGGTCTTCACGACCCTTCTGAACAAAAGCAGAGTGGAGCCATCTGGATCTCAGGGGAATCTCATTCCTGAGGGTAGATGCTGTTCCAGAGAATGCATGGTTCCAGATTGGGCAAGGGGGGAAAAATAACCAGCTGATGCAAGCCCATCCTACATGATCTGTTGCCCCAGTGAGCTCTTGAATCAACCCATCTCTTGGATCACTTCTTTGCTCCAGAGAGACTCACCTTCAGCTGACGGTCTTCCATCCGGAAGGAGGCTCTTCCATCAGCAGTGACCAAGATGTTCCCAAGATCGCCTGCATGCTGAAACATACGGAGCACACTGAGGTGCAGAAAACTCTTTCATCCTGCTCAGGATGGAAGCTGGAGCTGGTGATAATCCTCCACCCCCGACAGGATCAACCACTTCAAGTCAGGCATCATGAACAACTCAACGTACATTGTATTGTAACAATGCAGAAGTGGTTTGTCCTTCCTGTTATGGGATGTTCTTTTCACCTCCCGGTCTACCCTGTGCCTGGGAAGTTTAGTGGCTGCTGTTGCAGTACTAACCAAGGTGACTCTGCTTCAGTTTTCAATATCTTCCAAGATCCTCATTCCCACTTATTATCATTCAGAAACCACAAAGGGATACTTTAACA